AAGATATGATGACACTTCATAATAGCATGATGTGAGGAAACAGACACATATAGTAGACTAGAGCTGGCACATACTTGCAACCAGGCAACTTAGCAGAAATTAAACCTTGTATATCCTCTGATGAAGTAATTCTGTATCTGAGACTGTATCTAAAAGGTGAGTATGGGGAATGCAATGGAGATAGTTGACGATGGAAACAACATGGAGAGAATTTAAATATTCTACAGAAGGTCAGTGATACGTGATAAATAAACGATAACATATTCACACTTGCCGTAAAAAGAATGATACCTATCTTTGTCAATGTTAAGATGTTAAACAAGCAACTCTGGGTGAATAAGGTAGGTAATAAAATGGTATGTGTAGTGTAAACTTATTTTTATAGGAAAAATATATATATGCATGTGTGTATGCACAGAAAGTGGACTGAAAGGATTTTCAATTAAATTTTTAGATTTGTCTCTAGGTGTACAATTATGGGGGAATCTTTATTTTTCTATATTTTCAAGTTTTACCTTAAGCATATGTTTTACAATCATAAATAATACAAGTAACCCCATCCTCCTGGGTGGGGATAGATTATAAAAGGAAGTATAAATGGAGTGATATGAGGAACAGTGAGGTGCCTTTGGGAACTTGAATGCTGAAGGAGCTTGATTTTCTCCATGGTTCTAGAGCCTTTGAGGAGTGTGTTCTCAAATAATAACTTAAAGTTCCTAACTTCCCACCAAGGAGGTGAGTTTTCATACAAAAGGCTTCCTGTGTCCTTGGTCTCCTCACTCACTTGTGCACGCACCTCTTGTCAACCTCTCTCCACCATTCAAGATGTCTCCTTGCTCCAGAAATAAATCACACCTAATTTACAGAAGCAGAAGCAACTTCCTACACACTGAAGAAGAAAGAGGTCTTAGCCAGTGTGGTAGACACCGCTGATTTCATTACTAACGTTTCGCCATTGTGCTGTCTGTCTTTCCTTTTGGACATTTTCCAGCCCCCTGCAGTTAGGCAGAACCGTAAACTGGTTCTGACCAATGGGAACATGAGCTGCGGTGATGGGTGTTACTTCAGCCTCAGGTACTGGAAAGACTGCACAATTCTCTAATCTTTGTTAGAGGAGGCTGTACCTGTCAGATGGTACAGCTCAGGACAATGGAGTCTCCTTTGGGCTGGGACCCTGCCTATGCTGATGCACACTGGACACATAGCATGAGGGAGAAATAAAAAGTTATTTTGTAAACCTCTGAGACTCAGGAGTGTTTTTCTACCACAACATAAGATACTACTTCACACTCAATAGGATGGTTATTATTTTAAAAAGCAGAAAATAACAAGAGTTGGCAAGGATGCAGAGAACTCTTGTGCACTGCCAGTGGGAATGTAAAATAGGGAAGTTGTGGAAAACGGTATGGTGATTCCTCAAAAAAGTAAACATATCATGTGATCCAGCAATTCAATTTCTGGATATATACCCAAAAGGGAAAACATGGACTTGAACAGATATTTGTAAACCCATGTTCATAGCAGCATTATTCACAGTAGACAAAAGATGTTAGTAACCCAAGTGTTCATTGATACCAGTAAATAGAATGTAGTAATACATGTACAATGGAAAATTATTCAGACTTAAAAAGGAAGGAAATTCTGACCCATGCTACAACATGGATGAAGCTTGAAGATATAATGCTAAGTGAAATAAGTCAATCACAAAAGGACAAATACTGCATGATTCCAATTATATGAAGTATCTAGAAAGTCTAATTCAGAGATAAAAAAGCATAATGGTGGTTTCAAGGGGCTGGAGGAAGGGGAGGAAAAGGGAGTTACTGTTTAATGGGTATAGTTTCAGGGTTTTAAAAATTCTTTTAAAAAATATTTATTTTTATTTACCTTTAATTAAAAACAATTTTGTTGGGGGGGAGTTAATTAGGTTTGTTTATTTATGTCTAATGGAGGTACTGGGGATTGAACCCAGGACCTTGTACACGCTAGGGACAAGCTCTACCACTGAGCTATATCCTCCTCCACTGAGTTTTATATTCTGAAGATGAAAAAAGTTCTGGAGATGAATGATGGTAATGGCTGCACAACAATGTCAATGGACTTGATGCTACTGAACAGCGTAGATAAAATGGTAAATTTTGTTATGTATATTTAATCATAAAAACCTCCAACAAACTGAGATTGGTTACCTACAATGGGTGATTGAGAACAGTGTGGAAAGAATGAGGAAATGGGATTGGGAGAGAAGGAATGACGGAGGAGTTACTGAGTACTGATCTAATTCTGACTTTCAGAAATATGTTAATGTCTCACATACTCAAAAAATAATTAAAATCAACCAGGATGTTGAACCTATGTATATTATAAATGAGTAACATTATCATACAGAAAGATGTAAAAAAACTGTATTTTTCATTTTTGGGGGGCTGTATTTTTTACTATGAACTGTAAGACTAAAGACAAAATGAACTGTATGTGTATTTGGGTTAGCAATTCTTAAACTACTTTCTACTCAAGACTGAGCAAATAAAAATATTGTAGTTAATGAGAGCCAAGTTTTTCACTGTCAGAGAGAGGAGTTACAGAAAAGGAGATGGAGAAGGCTAGAAGAACCCAGTTCAAATGATTGAACTGGAATTGGAGATATCGTATAAAATCACAGATTATCTATACAGGTATACATACATAGATACAGATGTGTCGGTACAGATGCATATATGTCACGTCTGGTCAAGTCAATTGGCAATTACATCCCAGTAGCAATGAGCACATCTAATCTTGGTTTCTAGATACAATTTTCTAATAAAAGGAGTCAATGATCCCTGGGCAATTTGCTGATTCCAGGACTGGGGCTGAAAAGGTATAGTATCAAACTGGAACCTCCTGTGATTCAAGAAAATAAAGAAGTACTAAAAAAAAAAGTAAATAAAGGGGACACACTGAAAGGACATAGGAGTCAACCCGAAGGGATTCCCAATGGCCAAATTTGGGACAATTTGAGCAATAAAATACTTAGCAGTAATGGATTATAATCTATAGTATGTAAAAAAATTCAGACTATATTTACGTAATTTAGTAAATAAATGGGGAGAAGGTAAATCTATTTCTGAAAGGATTCTAATAAGTGTAGACGGAATAACAGACACCAAAACAAAATCACCATTTGGCAAATATCTGGTAATAAATTCTCAGGCAAGAATTATCAATGGATAATTGTGGAACTAGGATAAGAAACAATATATCTATAGAGACTTAAAATATCTCTCCATAAGACACATTAATTATAATAGAGTGATTTTGCAATGGAGAAACCTGGCAAATTAAAGTTAACACCACTAACAATGACACAAATTGATCTAATGGGTCTCCCAATTAGATGCACTAACACATCGCTTTTAGGGTATTCGGCCCTCAACTGCATAATCTGAATTTAATTATGAGTAAGTATCAGACAATCTCAAATTGGGGAACATTCTACATTGCAGAATTTACAAAATAAATGACCACTTCTCTTCAAGAGTGTCAAGCTCATGAAAGACAAAGATTAACTGTGCCAGATCAAAGAAGGTTAAGGAGAGTTACCAACTAACTGCAGCACATGATCCTGGACTGTATCCTTGTCTAGAAAAAGGACACTAAAGGACATTGATGAAATTGGAATAAGGTTTGTAGATTAGTTATTAATATTGTATCAGTGTTAATCTCTTGGTTTTGATCAAGTACTGTGATTATGTAAGATGGTAACATATGAAGAAGTTGGGTTAAGAGTATTTGGGAATTCTACTTTCGCAACAGTTTTAAGTCTAAAGCTAATTCAAGATGAAAACTCTGAAAAATTTTGGATAAACATTAGGTGTGCTGGGAGCATGGAGGGTATGAGCCTTTCAATTCACCTCCAGGGCACCCAGTAATTTACTCCTATGGCAAATACTGGAGAGGGGGTGGGGTGGTGTCTTTGTTAGGCAAGAAGTTTCAGAAGAAGGAAAGAAAAGCACGTTAAGAAATAACAAACCCAAAATGAAGTCATTTGCCCCTACAACAGCAAACTGAAACTTAATTCCAGTTTCAGTCTCTCTCAAGAATGCGGTTTTTAAACTAACAATGTGAAATTTCTTGATTAGCATTAGTGAGGTAATCTGCATGATAAGACCCCTGCCATTTCCTTCCTCTAAAAGAAGATATCCAGGCCTAAAACAATCCTTTCTTTTCTTTTGCTAATAATTTCCTTGCCCCACTCTCCTAATTCCTACAAAAACCTCCCATTTTGTACAACTCTTTGGAGTGAGTACCTCTCTACTTGCTGGACAGGATGTTGCCTGATTCATGAATTGTTGAAAAAGCCAATTAATCTTCAAATTTATTTGGCTGAATTTTTTGCTTTTTTAAAACACACATCACGAAAAACAATACTGATTTCAGGGAAAGAAGAAAAAGTGATGCACGGGGGACTTGACTTTTGGATGTTCGACAGCAATTCTTTCCTTCTCCTCCCAACATATCTCTTGGAGAAGAGTCAAAAAAAAAAAAAAAAAGTAATCATGCGGGACCAAGGCATTTTCAAACGATTATCGCCCAATCCTCCCACACCAGGGAGGAAAGGTAGAGAAAACGACATTATGCCCAAGCCAGGTGTTACAGGAAAAGGGTGAGGTTATCACTGTCCAAGGCCACAATATGCCAGAGCACTTAAGTCACAGGCACCTCACACCCACACTTGGGGCTGCGCAAATGGTCAGTGTCACGTAAACATAACCACATATCCACTTTTAAGACACATAAGGATACAATCACACAATCATAGACACCTCCACACCCTTATACACAGTCACAGTCTCACACCTACTAAGGCACACACACACACACACACACAATCTGCTCACCACCATGACACAACAAAGACACATTCAGAATCGCGCATCCTCAGCCCGCTCCCGCCAAAGCGCACAAACCCAAGGCTCTGGACACGCCCCGTCCCCGCCCCGGACTCCCAGACCCCTCACCTTCTGCCTCCCCTTGGTCGCGTCCGGGTCTCTGCGGAATTAACGATCTCGCCACGACGTCAAGAGAGACGTAACGCTGGGCCGCCGTGAACTCTGGGAAATGTAGTCCTGGGCCAGACCAGCCACGGACAAGATGGCGTTCTCTTACTTCAGGGTCTGGTCTTGGCCCGTTTGACACTGCCCTCGAGAAATTTCAAAGAGGTGAGTACCCGCTTCAAACCTCCTACCAGGCTTGGGATGATCTTCCTCCAAGGCAGGACTCCTCACCCCAAGAGCCTCATAATCACGGGAAGAGGCCGCCAAATTCGCGTGGGAGACAGGATGTCGACCGGCAAAGCCTTAAGGGAAATGTAGTCCAAGGCCGGAAAAAGGCGTGGCTGTTGATAGAAGGTAATCAGATACCAGCCTGGGCTTGGCCACTGTGACCATGCGGGCCGCGTCGCGGAGATTTCTGGGAGTGCTCGCTCGGCCTCAGAGTGCGCAGGCGCAGCGCACCGAGTGGACATTTTGGTCTTTGTCCGCGGGTCAGTCCGGCCCCTGGGTCCACGTGGCGCGAAAATAGGAGGTGGGATGTGGGCGTCTTGGGCTGATGGGGTCGGGGAGGTTGAAGGGGAGGATTCCGGATCTATTGGGGTGCGGCGTGAAGGTCGGGAGTGGGTTTAAGAGCTTCTGGCCTACGTGTCGGGTGGGGGTGGGGGCCTCTAAGGAGGGTTCGAGCGTGTGTGACCCAGAGTTTGACCGCAAGTTTGACCGGATGTTTTAAGATTTTTGAGTGAGAAACTGTGGATGCAGGGTTGTGTATGATTGCGTCTGAGAGAGAGATGTAGGAGACCAGCGTTGAGATAATAACATCCGAGCCGCCCTTCCCTTGTCGAAAGTGCTGGTAATAACGGTGCCATCTTCCTGAAACATCTAATTTTCTTGCAGATTTGAAGGAGGTTAAAAGCTAAGTGGTAAATAATTTAAAGATGGACAGTTATATAAAAGCGCATTTTAAAAATTGGGATAGAATACCAATCACTGTGATTTTTTTTTTTTAACAAGCAAGAATATTTCAAATGAACTTTTTGTTAGGGGTAGCCAGCCTCAAACAATATCAAATATCCTGATCTTTAGGCTACTTTAATAGGGCTGCTATTAAGTCGTGGGGTAAACAGCAGCGTTACACTTTGAGAAGCAGTGTTATATAGCATAGAAAGCCGAGAGTTAGGGAGTCAAGGGTTTGGGGTTCTATATTAGACAGTTACCCTTGTTCTATTAAAAAAAAAAACTTGGTTCTTGCAATGTTTATCCATGAATCTGGACTAGATTTTCGGTGACCTAACTCCTAGATGCATCGAAGTGTTCCCAGGTTGTATGGATTTTGTGAAGTAACGAGGATAGTTTTTTCTAAGGAATCTACGTATAGTCATCCTTCACATTTTATGTAAGAGTTAAATAATTGGGTACCGAATCAGTAGCTATAAATCAGTAACCTTTAAATAGACAAACAACAGCCAGTTAAAATATATAATAGAAGAAAACCACTATTTACAAGGACAGTTTAAAAAAATTGAGGAATAAACAAGAAATGTGCAAACTATTGGAAAAGAATCTTAAAATACTGCTAGAGGGCATAACATAAGATGTGAACAAATAGATATATCTTTTTCAATAGGGAAACAAATGTGGGCAAATTTAAGTAAACTTATTTTAATGTTATCCCAATGAAAGTATTTGCAGGGGTTTTTTTGTTTTGCTTTGTTTTTTAACTAGGTAAGCTCATTCTGCAGTTCATATGGAAAAATAAGACGGGCTAGAATAGACGTCTATTTGCATCTAAATGGAGTGGCCATTTATTTGCATCTAAAATGCAAAAGGAAAGCAGTTCGGCTGTGGGGAGATGAGAGCCCATCAGTAACACTTTAAATTCTCAGAAATTAAAATAGTATTACTATTATCAGGAAGCAGGCCTATGAAGGGCAGTTCGATAGTATCTGTAGTAACTGTATGTGTATTTTCTTTTTGACCTAGTAATTTTACATATGAAAATTCATTCTACAAATGTACCTGAATTTGCATGAAATGGTACAGGTAGGAGATTGCTCCTGCCAACGATGTTTTCATGGAGAAAAAGGTTAGAACAATTCATGCCCATCGGTAGGAGATTGGTTTGATAAAATTATAGTATATGTATACAATAGAATGATTTGCAGCTGAGTAAAAGAATGAAGTGGAAGCTTTTTATATACTGACACTGAAATAACTTTAAACATGTGTTAAGTGAGAAATGCAGGATGCAGAATGCATGGTATGCTTCATTTGGAGTCAGAAATAGGAGAGATAAGAATAGATAAATATACTTGTGTTTGTTTCTATTAAAAAACTCAAAAGATCCACAGGAAACATAAAAGTGGCTATCATATTCTATTGAGGGTAGAGGTACTGGTATATATAGAACAAAGGCAAATACTTTTTTATGCTTTTTTTCCCTAACTTTATGAATTTAGTATATATTTAAAAGTCAAAGTAGTTTTTTTTTTTTTAAAGGAGGACATAGGCCGTGGAGCCAGACCCCTTCTGCCACGTCACCTTGGTGACCTTAGGTACTTAAACCTTGTGCTGCTTCAGTTTCTCATAGTATTATAAGGAAAATAACAGTGTCTGATTCACAGGGCGGTTATTGCTATTATTGGCAAAATAATATTTCCTCAAAAATGGTACAGTCATTCGTACTGTTTCTGGTAAAAATTTCTGAAAGATTCAGATATTTAGTTGCTCCAATTTTCAGGTTTAAACCCTTTTTTTGACATTTCTTTTTGTAACTGAAATGAGGAAGTTAAGCTTCTGTGTTCAAGTTACACTCACCTTTAGAAACTCCACTACCTCCTTCATGAGCTTTGTTCTTTGATTTCTATGATGGTTATTTTCTCGTGATTCTAATTCAGAGATTTTTTTAAAAAATTTTTTTGGGGGGAGGAGGTAATTAGGTTTTACTTATTTATTTCATTTTTTATTTTTAATGGAGGGACTGGGGATTGAACCCAGGACCTCGTGCATGCTAGGCATACACTCTACTACTGAGCTACAGTCTCCCCGCTGGAGATTTTTTTTTCTGGTTTCTTTTTTGTTTTGTTTTGTTTTGTTTTTTGCAGGGGGGAGGTAATTAGGTTTACTTATTTATTTGATTTTTCAGTGGAGGTACTGGGGATTGAACCCAGGACCTCAGGCATGCTAGGCATGTGCTCTACCACTTGAGCTATACCCCTCCCCCCTTGGAGATTTTTTTTTATAATCCCAGTTGTGACTTAATTTGGGCCAGACTATATCAGAGATGATCTTCAAATTGCAGAACATCAGGAGAGAAATACTGTATGACTGGTCCACCTTTAGTGATTGTATTTTTCCCTTTATAATGAAAACGTAATCTGCATGGTTTCGTAATTTGGCACCATACAAATGTCCATTCCCCATCAGTCATTTAATAGAAGGTTTTAACACCAATAAATAATCCTTAGCTGAATCAGTGATTTTTTTCAGGGTAGCAAAGTGATGATTTTCTAGTTTTTTCATTTCTTCTATGTTTATTTGATTGCTACCTCAAATCGTGTCAAATTTGTCCTGGCTTTTTCTTGTTTAGGCATCATTTTAAAGCTACGTTCTAGTAACTATAACTAGTTTTATTTCTGGTAGTCATATTGTCATAGTTTTAGCTAAAAGAGGCTCCTTCATGCTGACTCCTCGTCTCATTTAACTTGCCACCATTTAACTTTTAAAGCTTTGTTACACTAAAAGCGCACCTTGTACCTTCCCTCCCAGACTTGGGATCAGCCGTTTCTCCAGGTATCTCTGGTTCCTTTCTCTGGAGAATGGTGTTGGAAACCAAGATCTGGGTGTTTGATGTTCTCATGGCTGCAGAGGTAACATTGTTTCAAGGCCATTTCAGAGACCAGGGTAGAAAATCCATTTTTAAAAAACATGAGTTCATATTAGTATTTCTAATTTGGTTTAAATGGTTTAATACTTTTACCTCATAATTAGCTCCTAACAGTATTTTATAGTAAAAAATTTTAAATGGCTTCACATAAATATGTACTTATTTCTTTTATCCTGCAGTATAAGGAAAACGGTTTGAAAATAACAATATTGATAGTAATAGTAACTATAAACATACTATATCATGCAAAAAAAATTTTTTTAATTTGTTGTTTTAATTGAAGTATAGTTGATTTACAGTGTTATGTTAATTTCTGGTGTACAGCATAGTGATTCAGTTACACGTATATATTCATATTCTTTTTCATTATAGGTTATTATCAGATACTGAATGTAGTTCTCTGTGCTGTTCAGTAGGACCTTGTTGAAAATTTTCTTTATAGTTATTTTTGTCCTTAGAATGCATCCCAGTAAAGGTGTTCTGTCAAAGTTCTCTGTTCTAAAGTCATTTGAAATAAATTCTTTGAGGAATAGTATTACCAAGTTAATGTACAGTTGAGTCATTTGTTTCAATTTGTTTTCAAGTTCAAGGACTGCTTTTAGAAAATGAATTTGATTATATAAAAAATAAGTAATGCATTTTTATGATGCAATGAAAACGATATCTCAGAGATAATCTCATTCTGCTTCCCTCCCTCCTCATATTCTTCTCTTTCCCAATTATATATAGTTTCCGGGGTTTTTTTGTTTGTTTCTTGTTTATCCTTCAAGTGGATTTTTTTTGTTTGTTGGGTCATTAATGTGTATTTGTTCTTCCCTCCTGTTTCCCCACCTTCCTTACATAAAATGTGTACTGTGTACATTTGTATTCCTCACTTTCTTCACTTAACAGTATGTCCTGGAGATCTTTTTTTAGTCATCTCTTTTTTTTTTTTTAATTACTGTATAAATAAGATGCCATTGTGTGTGTGTGCTGTAGTTGATTCTGCTGTTGGATACTTGGGTTGTTTACAGTCTTTTGCTATTACTGTAGTGAATAATTTTTATCTGTTGTCATTCTGTACTTATGCAAGATTATCTCCAGAGTAGGTTGCTACAAGTGGAATTGCCTATGGAGCTAAGTACTTTCATTTCCATTAGCAGTCCACAAGAACACCTTTTCCTCCTAGGACCTTACCATCAAACTGTAGTGCTGAATATTTGATTTTTTTGCTAAAGGTATGAATGAAAATTGGTATCTCGGTGTAGGTTTACTCTTGTAAGGTTGAATATCTTCATATGTTTGAAGACCACATGTATTTATCTGGGAACTGTCTTGTTCATATCCTTTTTCCCATTGTACTATGGGGTGCTTTTTCTAGGAGCTGTTACATTATATTAGAAACGTTAGCCCTATGTGAAATGAGTTGCAGTTTTTTTCTGAGTTTTAAATTTTGACCTTGTTCACATTGTTCATTTCTTTTTTTTTTAAACCATGCAGAATCATGAGGTTTTTATTTTTATATAGTTAGATTTATCAGTCTTCATTTATGGTCACAGAAAGCCTTTTCCACTCCAAGTTTCACCTATACTTTCAGATCCTCACACAGTTATAATTTTTATAGGATTTCATTTTCAATTTATATTTTTAATCCATTTGGAGTTTATCCTGGCATATGATATTGGGTATGCATCCAGGTTTATATTTTTCTATTAGGAAACCTGTTCTTCCAACACTGTTTATTAAAAGGCCTAAACACTTTTAAGATTCCATTTTGATCATATACTAAATTCTCATGTATTTTGTCTCTTTCTGGACTATATTCATCCATCGTCTGGTCTATATTCATATACCAATATTTATCTTTTTATTAAATATGCTTTATAATTTTGTTTTAATATCTAGTATAGTTAATTTCCTCTTATGTCTTGTCTTTTTTGGTTACCTAGCTATTGCTTGTTTTTTCTATGTAAACTTTTAGAATCAGCTTGCTAGGAAGAAAACTTACTGATACTGCATTAAATTTATAAAATAATTTAGGGAAAGGGACATTAGCTCTTTGTCATGTTAAATAGTCCTGTCCATGTACATGACATGTCTTTTATATATTCCAGTTTCCTTTTGGGTCCTCGGAGTGTTTTAAAGTTTTCTTCATTAAAAGTTTTAGACACTTTTTGCTAAGTTTATTTCTAGGTACTTTATCTTTTATATTGCTAGTATGAATAGAGTTACTGTTATATATATAAAGCTTGTTGATTCCTATAAATTGATTTTATTTCTTGCTTAACTTACTGAATTATTACTTATATTAAATAATGAGGCAGTGGGCATCCTTATCTTTATTTAGAGTTTAATAGAAATGCCTTTGCCAGTGTTTGCTTTATATAAGATGCTGGCTTTGGTGATGAGATATAGATTATGACTATCAATATATATATGTGCCAGTGCTGCCTGTGTCTCTGGGGATGTGAGTAGAAACAAAACGTTTAAGGCAGAGGCCACAGCTATGTGTCAGATGCAACAACCACGAAAGATCACATTAATCAAGAAAACACAAATCCCTCTAAATTCTGATAACTGCTGTCTTTTAAAAAGTCAAACAGAACAAAAGTAAGATGTCCATTCCTATTTTGTTTTCTTTCCATTTCCTCCTTTTGGTGACCATTTCTTAACTCAGGTCCTTCATTTATCTTTGTGTTCTTTTTATAGCTTTGCTTGCTTCTTAAAGTTTTTATGTCTTTTTAAAAAATGAGTTTTGTTACATTCTATTTCATTTTTTATCTGCTTGTGACAGTATTTTTCAGATGAGTTTAACTTGGAAAATTATACTCTTCAAACAGTATAAAGAAAATATTTTTTTACTCCTGTTTGTTTGAGGTAGATTCTCCTAGTATGCAGTACATAGTAGTATTCTGTGCTTCAAAGCTCACATGCCTCTTCTGGTGTCTTAATAGCAAAGGACTGCCACACCACTCTGGCTCCATGACCCTAACCTGGTTGAGGCCGACTTCTGTCTCCACCTCCCATCAGTCTTCGGGGAACTTGCCTTCTAGGATGATGCATTCACTTTTAGAAGTTGCTAAATCTGGGGTCACCCCACTCCCAAGTACTTTTTAAGCCTACTTTTTCTGCTTCCCTTGCAGTCTCTTTCGGTTTAATCTAGGTCTGGCTTTCATCAGTTCCCTCTTAGGTGAGGCCTACTCATTCTGTAAGGAAGTATTAGCTGCAGATTTCTGAACTCCCTAAGCCCTCAGACTCTCCCTCAGCATTCCCAGTTCTTCCTGGGCTTCTTTGCAACTTCCTGTTTAGGCCTCCTGTTTGGGTTTCCCTTTCACAGAGACACGTGGAGTCTGGGAGGGGTTTTGGTCACCAGTTTTGTTCATTATTAGACTTGATTACAATAATTTTTATCGGGGTGAATCCCCAGTTCTGAGAATGAATATTTGCTGGTTACTTCTGGGATCTGTTACCTCAAAGACTTCTCACCGTTGTCTAGTCTTTCTTACTACACCTGTCACGCTGTTGTGGTTCCTGCACCACTTCTGCCATTTTGAGTATTTTGAGCCATACTTACGTATAATTTAGAGTTAGTGTAAATTCTCTCTACTAATGTCACTAAAATTGTAGTGTATGGATTAGCTGCTTGCTACGCACCCGTCACCCTGTTATTCTTGATGTTTTATATGGTTTTCAGGAGTAGTACTTGGAAGATTCAAACTAAGCAGCCTCCATCCTTCTTGGAAACCTTTCCTTGTCTCCACACTCACAGTAACATTACTCCCTGGTCTTCAGCAGCAATGATATTCTGACAACTGACAAATTCCTGCTTCCATTCTAGGCCTATTCTGAGCTCCTTGTTTATATATGCAATTGTCTGTTGGATACATTTGCCTGCATGTTCCTCAGAAACCTGACACTCTGAATGTCCAAATCAAACTTGATCTCCTTCCTCTTGCAGGTGGTTTCTAGGCAACTCGCCCTCTCGTGTTTATCTCTGTGTGCATTACTGTTTAAATCAGCCCTAAGCCTTCCACCTGCCACCCTAGTACAAATTGGTGACCAGGCTTTTTCAACACATGGTAGATAGAGTGTATGAGTAGTAACTTATGCTTTTTTAGGGTTTTGCTTTTTTTTTTAAATGATTTCAGCTTTATAGAAAATTTGCATATACCCTTTCTAGAGAAGGGTGTCTATACAGAGAAGTCCCATATACCCTTTACCCAAATTTACCATTTACACTGGTATTTTTTTTCTTTATTTTTCCTTCTCTCTCTGCAAATATGTGTTTAATTTCTTTACTGAACTGTAAGACTAAGTTGTATACATTATCCCTTTATCTGTGAATACTGTAATATCTGTAATATCTAATGTACTGTAATACTGTAATAGCTGTAATGTACAGCATTTGTTTTTCTAAGAACGAGGACATTCTTAACCATGGTATAGTAATCAAAACCAGAAAGTGTACAATACTATTATTTAATCCAAAGTCCATATCCAAATTCTGTCCGTTGTCCTAATAATGTCCTTAAAAACGTCTTTTTGAATGTATGGATGAACATATATTTACAGGACACTTTAAATATGTAGTTCCATTCAGGGTATATTGCAAACAAAGTAAATATTAGGACTCTACGAAAACTTTGGCTGTTCTTTTTCCTGAATACTGTCAAGAAAAACTTCCTACGCACTGTATCCATGTGGCTTGGTTCTGATAGGCTTATGTTGTTACAGTCATAGATCAGAGTATTGAATTCATCCAGGAATAAGTTGCCAGGTAATCCGCTCAGGAAGCTGTGTGGGAGCGTGGTGCTAGAGGACTGTAGGAACCAGTCGTGTAAGGTATGGGCAGCTTTCCCTATGTAAGTAAAATTCTGAAAATAAATTCCCTCTTTCTTCCTCCGTTCTGGATCTGTGGAGCCTAAAGTGGTTTAATGAGTATGGCTTTGAGATTCAGGAATCCAAATAGTCTTAGTCCCTTTGCTCATATAGTTGTGTGTGCTTTAATCTCTAAGGCAGAAAGTCATTACTTTGTTCTTTTTCACAGGACCTCTTCCTCGTGAAGTCCTGGGAACCGCAGCCTCCTCATCCTTCAGAAGGCCCGGCGGCCCTGGGCTCAGCCCGAGTTCTAGGACAGGACTCTGGCTCCAGCATTAACCTTCTAGTGCTGTGTCGTTTTCCCAGTAGCAGGTTATAAACTGCCCAAGCTGTGTGTGATCCTTTGTTGAAGCAAGAAGACGAACTCTGGATGGTGGAGGAAGAGGTAGAACAGAAATTTGTGCAGGTGAGTGAATCACAGCCAGGCAGGTCACACTTGTGCAGTCAGCATTGCCACCTCTGAAATGCTTTTAAGGATGTTTTCTTAGAGGCCCTAGTCCTAGAGTATCAGTTGGTATGAATTCTTTGGATACCTGAAGGACATTTTTTCTTTCAGTAGTCTACTTCTTAGTAGATTCCCGAGGGCCACGTGCCCCCTCATCTCTATTCTGCATGTCAGCACTTCGCACTCATTTGTGCTGCCTCTGTGTGATGGTTCTTTCACGACACCCTCAGTCTCACCTCTCCCGATGTGTGTAGACTCCTTCCCTCGTGCGTTGTCTTTTATATGTCTTAGATCTTTACGTGTCGTCTGGTATTTAGTTTCCTTTTTATTACTTACCAGTTCCTCTCATTCTCTCAGTGATTACATGCCTCGGCATTATGTTTCACATCTGTGATCATCCTTCCTGTTGTCTTCTTACACAGTGCCCCATTTTACATCAACAAACTCCTGCCTCCCTCCCTGCCACCCCTCTTTCAGAAGTTTTTGCCTTAGAAATCAGTTCTGCCTTTCTGCTGTGTGTGTGTATGTATGTATGAGTGTATGAGTCTGTATTTTTTAATATGATACATGAATTAGTAACAACTTTTGAACATCAAGATATTCAGTGAGAAAGTCTCTTATCTCTGTCCCTCAGTCCTGTAGTTCTTTTTCAAAGATGCGGTCACTTTTAAGAGTTTCATGTGTATCCTTCTTGAGGTAGTCTATGTATAAACCAGCATATATTATGTGTCTGTGCTGCAAATATGAATATATATAAGCCTTCAGTTTTCCTTTTCATATAAATGGTGGTATGTATTCTATTGTGTCCAGAATTTTCTTTTTTTCTCTATCAACACTTAATTTGTTTAACATGTCTCCTACTAATGGACATTTAGGTTGTTTCCAGGCTTATGGGATTGAAGGTACAAGTGTGTATACTTGTCTGTATTGCTTTGCAGAGATGTGCAGATACAGTCACATCATAGTTTACTCTAAGTGGAAATGCTGGATCAAAGTTATGTTTATAGATTTGATAAAAATAGGCACATAGTTCTCAAAAGAAATAAATCAATTTACATTGCTACCAACATAGTATATTTATGTATTCAGTAAGTATTGAACGATTTGTGTTTGGCACCATTTCAGGTACTAGGGAGATGTCGGTGGTCATAGTAGTCAAAAATTCCTCCCTCCTGAGGCTTACATTCTGGTTAGGAAAAACAGACTGTAAGTAAATAGGTAAAAAATATATTGTCAGATGGTGGTGAGTGCTATGGAGAAAAATGAAGTAAGGAAAACTGGCATAGAGGGCCATTTGGGGATTATAATTTTAAATAAGTTGGTTACAGAAAGGTCTCAGTAAGAGGATGACATTTGAAAAAAGAGCTGAAGAGTACGAGAGTGGGGCATGCCAGCATTTGGCAAAGAGCATTCAGCCACAAGGAACTAAAATTGTTAAAAACCCCAAGGCTGGAGCTTCCTGTTCAAGAAATAGTGATCAGGGCAGTGGGCTGGGGCAGAGGGAGCAAAAGGGAGGGAGTAAGAGTAGGTGTGGTTCAGTAACAGGCCAGATCACAGACTTGGCCTTTGTTCTGAGTGATTTGGGAGGCCGTGAAAAGGTTTTGAGGTGAGGCGTGAAAAGATCAGAATTAATTTTGGCTGCTGTAAAGTACAGTGTAGGGGACAGAGGCGGGGGGGTTAACGGGAGGCTCCCGCAGAAATCTAGGTAGTAGTTGTAGTTAGTGACAGGTAGTCAGATTCTTAAGGTATTTTAAAGGAATAGCTGACTGGTAGATTTTATGTCAGTTATGAGAGAAAGAGGAGGCACTGGTGACTCTAACTGGAAGAGGATGAGTTCCCATTTACTGAGATGGTAGGGGCTTCAGGAATTTTGGGAGACAGATCAAGAGTTTTCTTTTGGACTTGTTAACTGTGGCATGTCTACTGATCCGTCATGTCAGTGCATACACATGTAGGTAGGCAGTTTGGATACACAAGTCAGGAATTCAGGGAGCTAGAAAGTTGTGACCTCTTCTGTTCTGCTATACTGACAAGCTGCTTTATTCGGCATGGTGTCTCTGCATTTCCTTGCTCAGTCCTACTTTTCTTACCACTCAGGGATGCTAGTGGGTCCACCTGGTCTCCTGCATCCAGCCTCCATTCCTGGATTCTGTTGTTAACAAGGAGGTAGTGATGTGGCCCTTGGAGCTGTGCCTTGTGTTTTTGGAGAGCACTGTGTGTGATATGTCTTCTAAAAACAGCAATGGCAGCTGCCAGCTCATACCCTTCCTCATAAGACATTAGAATTATAGCTACCTACTACTCTTACCAGCAATGCAGCTACCCTTTTTTTTTCCTCTTTCTCCTTCCCAGACGTAAAGTGAGCAGAGGTGTCTTTATTTTACCATTTTAGAAGAAAGGACCTATTTATGTTTGAGTCATCCCTCTAGGAATTCTCTCCCTCTTTGGCTTGATTGGTATCTTTGAAGACCTGAGATGTTGCTTTACCGATCTAAGTGTTTCCTCCTCTTCTGCTCCCCCCGCCCCTTCTGTCTGTCCTCTTACTGGAGGTGGCTGCTGGAAGTCTGCAGTCTGCCTTTCCTCCTGCCTTTTATAAATTAATTTCCAGAAAGGATTCATCCATTCTGGGGTCAGAAGTAATGCTTTCTGTAAATATCCATTTTTATTTTGGCACCCGTAGGTTTTCCGTCTTGCCCACCATAATTTCACCTGTTTACAGAATAAACAGCTGTCCAACTGGCTTCATTTTCATTGTGTCAGAGAGTGAAATCATTATCCCACCCAAACTAGAGATTTCAGCTCATTATTTTCAGGTCCAGACATCACTTCAGAGCATTTTCAGATTATATCTGGATTATTTCTTTTCTCATGGTCCTTGTGATATGGTCAGTCAAACCTTTTAAAAGGTATACTTTGCTCTAATCAAGAGATGACATGTTAACCTTATGAATATAAATGTGAACCTATTTCCTTTTTCTATAAAATTTTTTGAATCTTGGCCTTTGATTATGAAATGCCCCACCCATTCAGTTCCTGCTTATCATTTAAACCTGTTACCCTCTCCATCCTTCACATTTTCCATAGAAATTCAAAAGTCCTCAGTAAATAACATCTTACATGTTTTTAAATTTTTATGTCTGGAATCTGTCTTATGAACCTATTGAAAGGGAGGCCTCTTTTATTCTTTCTGTCTGCAGTTTTGATTACACAAGCTTGTTAAATAATCTTGTGGTAACTTGTTAAATAATCTTGAATTATTGTTATGGAAGGATTTTTAAAAAATCAATTCTTAACATCTTCAAACGTTAAAATCATTGAAAGAAGAATTCACTGATCTACTATATACCCATCACATATATTCAGTAATTAGTGTTTTGCCATGTTTGATGTGTCTGTCCCAGTGCACGCATATTGTGTGTACCGGAACATGAATCCTAAAAAATTAAGTGTGGATTTTCTAGAGGTGATGGCCTCCCCCTACATAACAAAAACACCATTATCACACCTTCGATGATTAGTCATAGTGTGCTAACATTATGGAATAGTCCATGTTCAGGGTTCCCCACTTATTTCCAAAATACCTTCTATAGCGTTTTTTTTCCCCAAATGCCAGAATCCAGTCTAGGTTTAAGGCTTTTTAGTTTTTAAACTCTAAAACTGTCCTCTCCTCCTTTTTTTCCCACTTGACATTGCCCTCAGTATTTAAAAAATACTTCCTGTCAGCCATTCAAAGAGAAGAGTAGCGCTGTGACTGCAGTTCAGCCCCTCAGGTTATAGCATACATGTTAAGACTTAGCTAAGTATGAATTTGTGTTTAAAAATACTGCATGTGAAATATTTTAGGAAAAGTGAATGTGATTGTGGTTACAAGTTAAGGGAAAGTAAGAGACAAGACTGGAGAAGTCTTTTTAGGAGCACGTTACTGGAGCTGCTTCCAGGAGGTTCTTTAGCTTCTAAGAAGTGTAAAAAGTAGGAGGGGATCAGGTTAAGCCAAAGGACGTGAGGAATATAGTGTGTGTAATTGTGACTCATTGACTGCATCCTTAACACGCTTGGCGGGCTTTCCTTAGGGCCTCTGAACTACTTTACTGCTTAGAATGCTCTTCCTCCAGTTACTGTAAGGATCACTCTTCATGTCTTGCATCTTGCCTTCTCAGGGGCCACTCCATCTGAAACTGAAACTCTTTATCCCTTCCCTAATTTTTTCCCATAGCACTTAAAACTTGATAGCAAACCTCCTTTATTAGTTTGTTTATTATTTTTCTCTGCCCACTAGAGTGTAAACTTGATGGGGGCAGGGAATTTTGTCAGTCTTGTTCAATACTGTTAATCCCTGAAGTTTAGACCTGTGCCAGGCACATAGTAAGGGGAGAAGAAGGTATTTCTTGAATGAATAATGAGAAATGTTTTGAGTATCCATTCTCAAACTTTTTGGCCTTAGGATCTCTTCATGTTTTGTTGTTGTTTTAATAACAGCTTTATTAAGATATAATTCAGGTAACATAAAATCCACCCTTTCAGGGTATACAATTCAGTGATTTTTTTAGTATATTAACAAAGTTGTGCAATCATCACCATTATCTATTTCCAGAACATTTTCATCACCATAAAAGGAAACCTGGAGCCCATTAGCAATAACATTTGTATTCCTAAAACTTGAGGAGCCCTAAAGAGCTTTGGTTTCTGTGGACTTCTGTGGCATTTACTTTCATTGAAGTAAAATTGAGAAACTTCTTAAAAACATTTATTAATTTAACAAATACCGCAAATAATAATCTAATTACATATAAACTTAAGTTACATTTCTAAATAAACAGTTTTCCACAATAAAAAAGTTTAGTGAGAAGAATGGTATTGTTTTGCATATTTGTAAATATCTTTACTGTCTGGATTAATAAAAGAGAGCCAATTCTCATTTCTCCTGTTGTAACCTGTTGTTTTGGTTGAAGTGTATTAAAAAATTGTGGCTTCACACAGATGTAGTTGGAAAAGGGAGAAGTGATTTAGTAGCCTTTTCAGATAATTGTGAATAGCCTTTGGTACTATACCAACACTTGACAAGTGGTAGTTTTTTCAAGATTAGCTGTACTGTGAAATTTTAAACTATATTTTTGTTCTCTTACATTAAATCCATTGGTTTGTCTTAAACTTTGAATGGATCTCTTACTCATGCATGATTTTGTAACATCACACATTGGCCAACTGAATTATGCAGATCTTTCAAATGTTGACATATCTCATAGTATCAAAACATCATATTTTGTTAACATCACCAGTCTTACTAGAAAAATCTTTAAAGTACTGGGAAACTATCAGTCTCATGGTAGAGGATACTGGTTTTCCAAAATTCCGATTTTTGCTTGAAAACTCAAATTCAATCATTGGCAACATGGGCTGTCAGTTGTTTCCCTTGAGATGATTATCTTACTTTATTCTGTCTGAAGAAAGTTCTCAGCAAACAATACCCAAATCTTAATAACCATAGTTTGTGAGGCATTTATTAATTTATTTAAAGCAAATTAATGGTGCTCTGTGAAATAAAGTAAAAATGGTGCCCCATGAAAAAAGTGGCTAAATTTAGCTCACAACTTAAATGAACTGCCCAAGTGCTTTTCCTTGAGTTGACTGTCTTCTTCTGGCGTACAACAGAAGTATATGTGCATATGTATAAAATTATATTTCTTTACATATGTAAATAACTGGTATTTACCATACTTTTTGTTTGCTTGCTTGGTTTCCTGTATTTAGCACAGGCTCCCTTGGACTTTCTTCAGACTAGATCAAAGGCCTCTCGGTGCTAGTTTCCACGTGGTCAAATGCACTGGGAAATCTCTTTACATTTCTCCTCTTGGAGGTATTCTAGAATTTTTGTCCTCCTCCTTCAGTCTAGACTGGCTGTACTCTGACCTGATAGTCAGCTCTTACGTTGCAGCTTTCATCATAGTTACCGTAGAAATTTTCTTCATTTTTTTCCCCCATGCATCTCCTCCTTTTTGGATTCTATATCTTTTGCTTTCTCTGTCTACTAATTTTAGTGGAACACATCTTCTACTAGTAACCTGGGAGAAAAGGTGCATTTTTGGGCTTTTGCATGTTTGAAAAATGCCTTCATCTGACTATCTCATTAGACTGAGAAGCTAAGCTTAAAATTTTTCCCTAAGAATTTTGTCTTCTAGCTTCTTGTCTTTCTGTTGAGAAATTTGATTCTGATTCCTCTTTGACATATGTTCTTTTTTCTGAAAGCATTTATGGCCTCTTTTCTGTTTTGAAATGTCATAGTAATGTTTCCAGGTATGCATCTTACATTCATTGTGCAGGGTACCAGCGGGCCTTTTAAGAAGTCTAGAGGGTCATGACTTAGAGGAGAGGGAATTTTTTTTTGTTCTTTTAATATTTCCTCTAAACAGTTTTCTCCTTGTGTTTTCTGGGACTTCTTTTACTCAGCTATTACCTTGGCTTATTCTCCGAACTGTCTTCTTAAAGCTTCTGCCAGGAAATGACTGCTGCGCCTCTGCTCATATTTCATTGGCCAGATGAGGTGCCTGGCCATGTGTGAGTGTGCTAGAGTGAAGCAATATAATCCTGTGCTAAGGAGACCCTGTTACTGGTGAATGGTAACACAGTCTGCCTCACCTTCCCTCCCACCCCCCACCCTAATGTTTTAATTTCTGTGGGAACCTTTTTCTCTCCGTTTCTTGCTTACAAAATCCTGTTATTGTTTCACTGATAAAACATCTTCTCACAACTGTCTGTGATTGGTTTTAGGGTTGTTCGCTGTGCCTTACCTTTATTTCTGTAGTCTTTTTTCCTCTTAATGTTGATCTTTCATTTTAGTGGGGTTCCTCAAATATGTGTGGAATATTGGCTGCACAATTATATTTAAGGGTGATGGACTGAAAGGTAAGCTCTTTTGCGCCTCGGTGCTTCTAGTCTCTGGTAGACTTCAGTGGGTGAAAAGTGGACTGCCTCATGGACTCAGGGTCTTCTCCCTGCAGAAGGGTTATACTGCCTTCCTCTTGTGAACTTGCATGTGGCCAGCTCCTTTGTTTAGGCAAAAATATGAGTACAGACAAGTATCATTTTGGAGGGAGGACATCCTATTTAAGTTTTTCACGGGCCTTTCAGTTTGTCCAGAGAAGGATTCTTTCATATCCTGCTCACAAGTTGCCAACTTTTTTTGGCCTCAGCTGCAGACAGACCTGGAAGTCTCACCACATTACATATGGCTCCCGCTGATTTCAGTTTACAGCACCTGTCTCCTGTCATTTGTTGAGTGTTCCTGAGACTGGAGCTTCACTGATTAAATTTCTGCAAAGAATAATTTCCATTTCATACAAAGGATTGGTCCTTTGGCCTCCTGACTGACAGTAGAGGTTCAGCTGCACCTCAGACAATCCTTTCTTTCCAGCCACCATCCTTTATTCCTTCTTTTGAAGTACTTGATTTCCCTCCATTTCCTGAATCTTTCTGTTATTTTGTGGCACAAATTGGCTTGCTTGACAGTGGTGTCCTCTTTTGCACTACCTTTATGTTATTTGAAATTCCTCAGCTGTTCTCTGTGTTGGAAATCTTCCATGTACTTTGATATCAGAAATTTTGTTAATATTTCTGTGTGTTGATGTCTCCTATCATATTCTTTTTTTCTTGTTGGTTTGTGCCGTTTTCCCTTTTCTTGTCACTTTAATAGAGTTTTAGAAGGAAGCAGTTAGTATTTCCTTTCCCTTTCTTAGGAATTCCAGGTAGACTTTCTTAATGTTATGTGCTCATCTCTTTATCCTATTTGTTAATTCCTCACTTTTTGTTACATTCAACTTGCTGGATTATGAAATTAGTTATTTTTCAACAGTAATCTAAACTTTGTGTACCTATGAAGGTTAATTTTCAACCAGGGGTCCTCTTCTCAAAATTTAGTTGGAAACATCGGTAATGAGGATTCTTTCATACTATGAGATGGGCTACCAGAGTTTATCCCCCAAAAGCACAGTCTGAAATTTTATTACTAGTAATGGGAAAATTCATAAGTGATGCTGCTAACTGAAAGCTAACATTGAGTGCTTACCATGTGTCAGCCGCAGTTCCAAGCACCTTATACAGTAACTCCTTTAAATGATGATTCTTTGTACTCCATTTTAGAAGAAGCCTGAGGAGATAACGAGCAGATAGAGAGGCAGCAAAACTTGGGAGGCAAGTTGCATCCAGCTCCAGTAAAGTACAGACTAATGAAAAAAGCAGTGAATCTAAGAAAATTGGAAAAATACTTCCTCTGATTTCGAACAGTATATCTTTTTAAGGCAACACCTTTTTCAGCTTAACCTAGAAAGGGTTTGAAACACAATTTAGACTTAGCTATGTAGGAAAGAATCATCAATTGAATTAGCTTGGAAATTCTGCCACAGCTTACTCCTTATGGTAATAATCCCCTTTAGGTGTGAATCAGTGGGGAAATGCCTCGTTTAAAAAAAATTTGAACCCATCTGATATCTGAATATTAATACTGGAGAGAAATCCTATGAATTTACTGAATTGTGGGAAAACTTTTACTCATGTCACACATCATTAAATGTAGAAGTCAGGCTAGAGAGAAACCCTGTGCTTTTAAGGAGTATTGAGAAGCGTTTATTTAGCTAGATGACAGATCTCATTGAGCAGGAGAAAATTCATACTGGAGAGAAACCAGTGAATGTAACAAAGCTTCACTGAGTATTAGAAAATTTATAGTTGGAGAGAAAGCTTTGAATGTACTGAGTATGATAAAGTTTTCTCTTGAACCTTATCTCTTACTCTACATTTGAAAGGTGATACACAGAGAAGCCCTACAAATGTAAGAAATGTGGAAATACCTTCAGCCAAAAGTAAATTCTCATTCATCAGAAAATTCATACTGGAGAGGAACCTTGTGAATGTGGGAAAGCTTCCATTCAGATGTCACACCTCAGTCAGCAGAGAATTTGTAGTGGGGCAAACCCCTTTGCCTGTAAGGTATGTGGGAAAGCCTTCAGCCACAAATCAAATCTCACTGAGCATGAGCATTTTCATAATAGAGAGAAACCTTTTGAATGTAATGAATGTGGAAAAGCCTTCAGCCAAAAGCAGTATGTCATTAAACATCAGAACACCCATACTGGAGAGAAGCTTTTTGAATGTAACGAATGTGGAAAATCCTTCAGCCAAAAGGAAAACCTTCTTACCCATCAGAAAATTCACACTGGAGAGAAACCTTTTGAGTGTAAGGATTGTGGGAAAGCTTTCATTCAGAAGTCAAACCTCATCAGACACCAGAGGACTCACACGGGAGAGAAGCCCTTTGTATGTAAGGAGTGTGGGAAAACCTTCAGTGGCAAATCAAACCTTACCGAGCATGAGAAGATTCATATTGGAGAGAAACCCTTTAAGTGTAGTGAATGTGGAACAGCTTTCGGTCAGAAGAAGTACCTCATAAAACATCAAAATATTCACACTGGAGAGAAACCATATGAATGTAATGAATGTGGAAAGGCCTTCTCTCAGCGAACATCACTTATTGTACATGTGAGAATTCATTCAGGTGACAAGCCTTATGAATGCAATGTATGTGGAAAAGCCTTCTCTCAAAGCTCATCTCTTACAGTGCATGTGAGAAGCCATACAGGTGAGAAGCCCTATGGTTGTAATGAATGTGGGAAAGCTTTCTCTCAGTTCTCAACCCTTGCTCTACATTTGAGAATTCACACAGGTAAGAAGCCTTATCAATGTAGTGAATGTGGGAAAGCTTTCAGCCAGAAGTCACACCACATTAGACACCAGAAAATTCATACTCATTAAAAACCTTTGGATATCATGAAAATTGATAAGTGTTCATGAGCAATTTACACCTCCTAACACAGGAGAAATAATCATTTTGAAGGAAAACATCACAAATGAGGGAAACAAAAGCTAAAAACTTAAAAGGACACCAGAGAACTCAGCCTGAAGAGAGACACTTGTATGATAAAAATCCTGTATCCAACAAAATACCTACAGCAAAAGTGATGCTGAAACTTTAGGTACATTTCCACTAAAACTGGAAATGGAAAACATGCTTATCGTTGCTATCTGCATAGATTTGGAGATCTTCAGCGTAATAAAAATAAGTTGGAAGTATTAGAAAGCAAGAAACTCTTATAATATTGGTTTAGCAGAACAGAAGAGCTTTTGGAAACACCTATGCATTTATTAGAATTTATAATACGATAGAAACGGCATCAGGAGATGAGAAGATTATGGGACTATTTTAAAAATGATTTGGAGGTAATTTCTTCTCCAGGGAAAAAGAAAAGTAGATGCTGAACTTACACACAAAGGTAAGAACCAAGGGGATTAAAAAGAGGAATATGAAAATGCTATATACTAAAATGGTTACGACCTTGGGAGTTGGGGAACATTCCTTAAACAGCAAATTGAAAAATACGTAGCAGTTCTACTCTTGAGTTTGTGTGCTCAGAAAATACGTACCAGGCTTTTTACTATGGCATGATCTGTAGTAGTCATAAATTGGAAACAACTTAAATGCCCATCAGGAACAAAATGGGAAATACTTAAGATGGAATACTGTATATCTGTAAAAATGTAATAAACGAGATCTATGTGTATTACAGAGAAAGATCTCAAATATCACATTAAGGGGAAAGAAAGTTGCAGAATGACATATAATACGATGACATTTTTGTAAATTTGAAGTAAAAGTTCTCACAAAATTCAGTGCTATATATTGGTAATGAATACCTTCTGTATGTATGTTTTTTAATTGTTTTTGAAATGATTGGAAGGATACAGACCAAACTCTTGATAGTGGTTGCCTGTAAAGAGTGAAGAAGGGAAGGGGATGCGTGTGGGGGAGGGGAGGGGTTGGCTTGAGGGGGCTTCAGTTTTATGTATAAACATCCATTTCTCTTTAAAGAAAAAAAAAGGACTGTAAGTAAATATATCGAAATACTGGTTAATTCTGGACTGTGGTATATGGATATCTTGTCTTATTTTTTGTACTTTTCTGTATTTTTAAATTTTCTCAAAATTAATAAGAATGGGGGTGAGGATGGGAACACTGTACCAATGGAAACCACGTTCTGATGGATTCATTCCCAATCAGCTACTAAACTTTTTATAGAAGATATTTCTAAAATTTTATCGAGTGGATGGACTTGCTCTCTATGTAGTATGAATATCTATTTTATTAAAATTAAAAATGACAGCATAATCCAAATTTGTTTTATTTTATTTTTACATTATAGTGTACACTATATGCTCTGCCTTCACATTTCTGACACTATTTTGTGATATGTCATTTGAGCTTAGGAATTTTTAAGAACATTTAGTTCAATAAGGATACATGGACAGACTTCATATAGTTTGTCTTTTTCCAATAAACTGATTTTGGAATGTTCATTTTCCTGCTCTGTAAATTTCCATGGTAACAGCATATGCATTAAAAATTAAGTTTTTGATTATTTCATTTTTAAAAAGAGAAAACCTTTCAGCTTCCCAGAACTTCCACAGTTTGAGTTATAGTTAAAACATTTGAATCTGTTTTAACCTGCAGATTATTTCCTTCTTCTCACTGCTTTCACACAAATAGTTTTTTGTTTGTTTTTTCCAGCTTTATTAAGGTATAATAGACAAAATTGTAAGATATTTGAAGCGTACAACATGAGGATTTGATATACATACACATTATGAAGGGATTCTCACCATCAAGTGACTGTTTACAAAGTGGAGAGGATGGGATAGGTATGAAAAAAGTGGTTCACACTGGACAGACTTCTGCTGTGTAAGCCGATCTTTCCTGAAGGTATTTTTTATTTAGTCCCTCATCACAATGTAACTTGATATAAATAATGTTATTAAAGGTTTTCTTGAATGATGAACATCAGCGATACAGCATTTGAGGTTGATTTTTTAAAAACCTTTTTAAAAAGCTCTTAAACTCAGTTAAACACCACAGCATTACTGTATATCTTTTACTAGCCTTTTTGGAAGAATGACCATGACTTATATAAATGTCTTTGTGAGTCTTGATCCTTTCTGATACGAAGTTCCCAACCCGTTTTTAAAAAAGGATGTTACATAGTAAATCTACTAAGGAATTGCACCAGATGTTTGTACACCGTTTAAAATTGCCTCCACTTATCACCCACAGTAGGAAAAAGATTCTCTGTAAGGATTTCCGTTGTAAGAAATTTTCCTGAACTACATTTTTTCTCCTTCATCTCTTATGCATTACTTAGCTCTTAACTATGCTCCTGTGCTTTTGCAGCTTTGGCATCAACCGAGTAAAGCCTGTTGCTAAAACAAAACCAGGCGAATACCTTCATGTGTCTGTTGGCCATCCTTTAAGGTACCTGCCTGCACCACCCCCAGCAAGGCTGGTAGTGTTGACCCTTAGAGGGAAGTTGAGTCTGAAATTCAAAATTGTCATTTTACTCAGTGTATCAGGAGGCAGATGACCTGAACTCCCTGAGTACGTCTTACTCCATCCTAATAGAGTGTAGATTAAGTGACCTGACTTGTTGGAAACCTGAATCATTGTTAGTCAAGATTTATTAGTCATGGTTAACCCCACATTGCCTGTGTTGCCTGGATACATATTAATAGCTACCTTATATTGTACCCAACCATGTGAGGGGCCATAAAACATCTTCCTTTATTGCCTTTTCCTCTGCTCGGAATGTCTATCCATTATAACTCTTAACTACCAGCTATCCAAATGTATTCATCAGAGGTAGAGATCTGCTGTCCCTCTTCCACTGAGACTTTCCTTTTCCTCTCTGCATTTTTTCCTCAGGAATCAGGGTTTTGAATAATAACTACCAATAATTGAGTCTTACAATGTGTCAGTACTCACATCAAGTCTCTGAAGTGTGTCATTTATTTCCATTTTACAGATGAAAATAGAATTAACATAGCTAGTAAATCATTTTCATCTTACAGATGAGGTAGAAATTTACATGGCTAGGAATTAACCATTAGTTCTCAAACCATTATTGGATTGATAATAGTACATCTTTAGAGATAAATTGGGAGGCCAAAGGCTATTCAGTCCAGTCCTTTTATAAGTGAACAATAAAATGAAGCAATTGGACTCAGGAACTATAATTAGAAGAATGGATATGGCAGAGTACCAAGTCAGTCAGCCTTAACAGCTTGATAAGTCATCACAGGACCAAGGAAAATGACATTGAAATTATGAAAGGAGAGGTATATCTAGAATATCCTCTATATGTACAATAGACATATTAAAGGGCAAGAAAAGAACAGATGTATAAGGTAGAAGTAATTTAAAAATAATAGAAGAGGGACTAATGCTTCAGGGAAGGTTGAATAGATGTACTTTTTCCTATTTCCCCGACTGAGTACAGATAAAAACCCTGGATGTTTACAGAGAACAAACATAAGACTGAAAGGTGGAAAGAAGAAGGCAGGGTTGGGACCGTGGGACCTAAGGAATAACATGGTGGTTAGTGCTCGGTTTTCTTTTTGCCTTGAATATCCAAGATTTGGAGCTGGAGAAGCTGGCAACCCAGAAATGCCAATTAGGACAGTAAAGCCCCAACAAACTTGCTCTCTAACCAGAGAACAAGGAAAGGGACAGCCTAGTAAAACAAAATTTTTATTTTTTAATTAGAAAAAAAACTTGAATACAATTTATTTAAGTGGAGATACTGGGGATTGAACCCAGGACCCTGTGCATGCTAAGCACACACTACCGCTGAGCTACGACCCTTCCCCCGACAGAAGAATTTTAGATAATAGCTGCTCTCCTCTAGCCAAACACCATAGAAAGATTGGCTACACCTATACCAGCAAAGGCTGTGTTGGGGGCTTAGATTTCCACTGTTGCCAGGCTGTGAAAAGGTGCTCCAGCCCTACATCCCCTTCAGAAAAGGATGACTAGGGGGTTGGGACTGTTACCTCCACTGGGTGGTAGTGAGACAGCCCTCCCACCCGTGTTGTCAGTGTAGACCGTTTGCGGAGCTGGGAATTCTGCGCAGCAGTAATGAGGCACCTGTATCCCTCAACCTTACTGGGTGGTCTCAGGGAGGCCAACTGGAATGTCAGGACGTTCACCGCTGCTCAGCGTTAATGAGACCACACACCCTTGTAGCGTCAGTGGAGACTACCCAGGGCACGGTTATGATACACAGTCTTACCCCTCTCAGCCGGGGTGGTTACCAGTGGACGTCTAATGGGGAGCTGGAACTTCCCTACCTGTTCAGCAGGAACAAGGAAGCCTTCCCCTCCTCAGGAGTCAAAGGAGGCTGAGTGGGGTACCTAGACTTGTACCCACAGCTGGAAGAAACAAGGTAGTGTCTCCAGCTCTCCCAGCCATGACAGTGTCAGAGGAAGCCAGCTAAAACTGAAGGTTTAAGTAAGATCTAGTATTATAATATAAAACCAAAAATAGAAAAATTACAGGAAAACTAGGAAATTTCACAGAAACAGGAAAATCTCAACTTGAGTAAAAATCAATACAGGCGTACCTTGGAGATACTGAGTTCCGTTCCAGACCACCGCAATAAAGCAAGTATCGCAATAAAGCGAGTCACACAAATTTTTGGTTTCCCAGTGATATAAAAGGTACGTTTATACTATACTGTAGTTTATTAAAGGTACAACAGCAATATGTCTAAAAAAATAATGTACGTAACTTAATTAAAAAATAGTCTATTTCCAATTTGGATCAATGGCATAAATTTTTGAGTATTTGACATGGTCCCACAAATTGCTAAGGATCTGTTCTTTGTTCCCCCTAGCCCCCCGCCAATCTTCTCTCCGTTCCTCAGCTTGGGTAAATTTTATTGATCAACCTTCAAATTCACTGACTCTTTTCTTCTGTTATCTTCATTCTGCAGTGAGCCCATTTCAGTCTTAATATTACCATTTGGATTTTTTATAGTGTTTATGTTTGAGAAATTCTGTATTTCCATTCAATTAAAGAGTGAAATGCAGCATAGTCATAACTGCCTTAAAGCTTTTGTCTGATAATTCTAACATTTGAATCATCTTTACTTTGGTACCTGTTGATTTTCCTTTCCTTTGATAATTGATTACTTTTACTGGTTCTTTGTATATTAAGTATTTTTGGATTGTATACTGGACACTTGACATACTTTCTGAGAGTCTGTTTTCTGTTAAAAGCAGCTGGATAATTATTTTTTTAAATTTTAGTAGGCAGTATACCCACTTAGGTCCAGACTGAAAGTTCTGTTTAACCTTCTGTAGGCAGTGGAGCCATCAATTCAGTTTTCAAAGGTTTTGCTGTGCTACTTTGAGAATGCCTGCACATGTCCCACTCTGTTAGACTAGGACTTACACAGTGGTCTGTATCACAGTTCAGTTCTCAGAGCCTTTATTATGCTTCTTTGGGTCCGTCACTCATGTACAGCTTGCAGGTAAGTGTGGGTCTTGTGTCAGTTCATTCACAGAATTAGGGGGTCCTCCTGGAGGTCTCTTATCCAGGATTTCCTCCACATTCTACATCTTCCAGGAGCTCCTTCTGCTAGTCCTCTGGTTAGAAAGAGTGAGTTTCTGTCAAAATTTTGTCTGCTTCCCCTCTCTCTATGCTGTCAGACAACTCACTTTGGGGTGAGGTAAGAGTAGCGAGAGAGAGAGAGAAACAGTAATACACCCAGTTTGGACCCTACCAGTCTCTTGGTTCTGCTGACAGTTACTGTAGTGGCAGTGCAGCCTCAGACTGGAGCTGGTGTTAGTGCAAAGTCAGTAGAGAATAAAGAGAAAAGAGAAAAAGAGAGGGGGATTCCTCACCCCTTCCAGGAGCCTCTTTTTCTAGTCCTCTGTCTAGAAAGAAGGGTTTTCTCTCATGGCTTTTGCTGATTGCACCCACTGCACGGTTCTGGGACATGCCCACGTGCAGTCAAAGCCAAGAAAAAAAGGAGGAAAATATTCCAGTAAACATGCCTCCATATTGTTCATTCTTCAGTTTTTATTTCTTTTCTACTTGCTGTTATTTACATTTCTGAGCCATAGGTAGTTGCTTTTTGGTTTTGGTCCAGAGTGTTAAGTTTTAATTAGTGGAAGAGACATACTGTAACAGACTTATTCCTTGTTGGCCAGCAGTCGACGTCTGCCAACCCAGATACTTTGAAATTGTCCATTATATGCCTTACAATGGCTCTTTTTCATCCATTGGTGCTTAACTTGATGGACTTCCATCTCGAACCATGTGTGTTACTTTTGAGA